CCGACCCGCCCCTGCCGTCTGCAGGGACCCGGGAGTCGGCCTTCGTGTATGCGCTGTCGGCCGCCGCCATCAGCCACGCCATCGCCCGGGCCTGCACCTCCGGCGACCTGCCCGGCTGCTCCTGCGGCCCCGTCCCAGGTGAGCCACCCGGGCCCGGGGACCGCTGGGGAGGATGTGCGGACAACCTCAGCTACGGGCTCCTCATGGGGGCCAAGTTTTCCGATGCTCCTATGAAGGTGAAAAAAACAGGATCCCAAGCCAATAAACTGATGCGTCTACACAACAGTGAAGTGGGGAGACAGGTAACCACCCACCCCACCCGCCCCCAGATAGTTGTGCTTGTGCCATTGGCAGGAAAAGGGCCGCCCGGTGTGCCCGGATGGAGGGGGGTGCGGGGCGGCCCTGGTCAACCCACACCTGATGCGCCTTCGACCTTCCTCAGCTCTTCCCTCCCCAGCCGCTTGGGGCTTGCCTGGCTCCTCCTCCTCCTCCTCCTCCGGGGAGTTCACTGGGACAGGGGTCGTCCAAGCAGGAGGAGCACTGAACTGGGAGTCAGGAGGTCTGAGTTCTGGCCTTGGCTCTGGCACTAAACTCGCTTAGTGACGCTGGGCAAGTCATTTCCTCTCCTGCCTCAGCTGTTCCCATCCATAAAATGGCAGGGTGATCTGGTGCTGAGTCCCCACAGGCCATGCCCTGTTCCGCAGGCTCCCCCTCCGGGGCACAGATAGGGCTGTGGGCCAGAGCCTTATGCTAGGGAGTCACCTCCCCCCTCACCCACCCCCAGAACGGTTTCCAGAACCGAACAGTTCCCCTCCAACTTTTATTATTATCAATTTTGCATTAATCCCTCACCTCATTGCACAAAAGTTTGGGCGAGTGACTGCATATGGGAATGAAATCAATACTAATCTGTCGCAGACACTCGGGCTTGATGAGTGTTCTCTCTCCCGTGTCCACAGACCAACCCGGGAGCAGGTGCCCTTGCCCCCACTCTACAGAGGGAGCGAGGCCCCACGAGGGACAGGGCTGCTCAGCCTGAGTGTGTGTACAGGCGGCATCTCACCAGCGCCTCCCTGCACCCACCATTCCCATTTTCCAGAGACATCAAGTAAGGCCGGAAGAACCTAGGAGGCTCGGCAGGTTGGAGCCCAGGTCCCAGGTCCCAACTCCAAGTCCCAGACCTCCATGTCCTCACCTACTCTCACTGGTCTCCCTTGTGTGAGGATTCTAGTAAGTCCAGGCCATTATTGAACAGTTAGGGAAACTGAGGTTGAATCACACGGTGGGCCTACAGCAGAGCCTGGCCAGGGACTCAGGACTCCTGCCTCCCAGCCCCACCGACCTGTCCCCAGTTCACGAAACCCCTCAGGAGCCCTTCACCCTCCCCCCAACCCCCTGTGGCCAGGCCAGCTGGGTGCTTTCTGCTGCCAGGGGCACAACCCTCCTCTCCCGCCATGCAGCTCAAAGAGGGTCCTCAGCCTCCGGGCACATCAGTCCCGTCCCTGGGGCCACCTGCAAAAGGGATGCACTGTGCCCCATGCCGTGGAGCTGTGTGAGGATTAAATGAGAGATTAAACATTTTGCATCAGGTGGGCCGCGGAAGCCCTAGGTCCCTCCCCCACTTTCACTGCAGAGCTGAACCTGGTTTCCCCGTCCTTGGTGACCTGCGGTGCCTCAGTGCCCTGCCGTCCTCTTTCCTTCATCCCGTGCCCTCCGCAAGCCTTGCTCAGCCAATTCTTGACTTGATACCCAGAGGGACTCCTCAGGTCCCCACTTCTGGCCACTGGTGAGGGGAAGGAGCCCTGGGACCCTGACCAGCTCCTTCAGTAATTCACTCAGTGATTTGGGACAAGTCCTTGCCCCCTCAGTGCCTCAGTTTCCCCATCTCTCTGATGCGGGGGGTAGGCCCGGCCAACCCATAACTCTTGTGGCTCTCTGTACAGGACAGGCAGGAGGATCCGAGACCTGTGAGGGAAAAAAGGGTTTAAAAGCAAAACTGGGTCAGGCACGGTAGTTCACGCCTATATTCCCAGCACTTTGGGAGGTGGAGGCGAGAGGACCTCTGAGCCCAGAGGTTAAAGACCAGCCTGGGCAGCTTGGCAGCCTCGTCTCTAAGATAAATCAAAAAATGAGTTGGGCGTGGTGGTGCACACCTGTGGCTCCAGCTACTTGGAAGCTGAGGCAGAAGGATTGCCTGAGCCCAGCAGGTTGAGGCTGCGGTGGCCATGAGGGTACCACTGCACTCCAGCCTGGGCAACAGAGTGAGACTCTGACTCAAAAAATAAATAAATAAAGCAGACCGGGTCAGGAACGGTGGCTCACACCTGTAATCCTAGCACTTTGGGAGGCCAAGGCTGGAGGATCACTTGAGCTCAGGAATTCGAGAGCAATTTGGGCAACATAGTGAGAACTCATTCCTACAAAAACTCCGCAAATTAGCTGGTGGTGCACACCTGTAGTTCCAGCTACGTGGGAGGCTGAAGCAGGAGGATTGTCTGAGCCCAGGAACTCGAGGCTGCGGTAAGCTGTGATCGTGTCTCTGCATTTCAGCCTGGGCAACAGAGAGAGACCCTGACTCACAACTTAAATTAAAAATAAAAAGCAAAACTGAAAGGCATCTAACTCCTGTGCTTCAGGTACGAATGGGGAAACTGAGGCCCAGGGGAGCTGGTGGGCCTGCGTCCTTTCCAGAGCCAGGGCTTGGGTCTACCCAAAGCCCTGGGCCCATGCCTCCCCACTCTCCACCATAGCTACTACACTGATTTTTCAAATTTACATTATCATTGTAACCTTTACAGTGTACAAGCCCTTCGAATATGCCATCTCATTTAATCCTCGCGGCACTCTTCAAGGCAGGGGTTATGTGCCCACTCTGCACAGGAAAAGACAGAGGCCCTGAGTGGTGAAGTGGCTTGCTGAGGTGGCCTGGCAGGAGCACGGGCAGTGGGAGGAGGCCAGGCAGGTTGAGGGCGATTCCCCCAAACATTCCTCTACCCTCTTTCCCCATTCCTCCTTCATTCCCTTCCTCCCTTCTCTTCTTTTCTTCTCTTTTTCCAGCAAACATTTAGTGAGAGGAAAAGCCTGGAAAAAGCCACTGCTTTTGGAATCCCCCTAGACCTGAGTTCAAATTTCAGAGCCACAGTTCTCCAGCTGTGCAATGTTGGGCATGAGACTTGGCCTCTCTGAACTTTTGTTTCTTTCATTTCTTTTCTTTTTTTAATGGGGAAAAGAAGGCTACCTCCCTTGAAGGGCTGTTGTGATGATTAACCCACCGTATGTGTTAGAGCACTCGGTATACAGTAGGTGCTCAATAGTGGCCTCCCTCATCTCTGCAAATGCCTCCCTTCCTTCCCCTTCTCAGCCGGGCCTCTCGCCCCCAGGCTGGAGGAAGACCCACAACACCTCCAAGCGTTAGAGCAAAAAGCTCCACCACTCGGGGCTCCAGCTGGCGATGAATCCCCGGGAGCACCCGGCCTCGGTGGGTGGGGCTGGGGTCCCGCGGCAGGCCAGGGAGGGGGCTCCGGCCGCCCAGCTCGACGCCCCGCCCTGTCCACAGGCTCTGCGCGCTTCTCTGGAAATGAAGTGTAAATGCCATGGGGTGTCTGGCTCCTGCTCCATCCGCACCTGCTGGAAGGGGCTGCAGGAGCTCCAAGACGTGGCCGCTGACCTGAAGACCCGCTACCTGTCGGCCACCAAGGTCGTGCACCGCCCCATGGGCACCCGCAAGCACCTGGTGCCCAAGGACCTGGACATCCGGCCCGTGAAGGACTCGGAACTCGTCTATCTGCAGAGCTCACCCGACTTCTGCATGAAGAACGAGAAGGTGGGCTCCCACGGGACGCAAGACAGGTGAGGCCTGCTGCCACCCCAGCAGGAAAGGGGCGACTGTGGTGCACGCACTTGTCCCCAGCTCAGGGCCCGGCGCACAGTCGGGTCTCAGTTGGCGTCTGGGGAGGGGAGTGCCCGCCCCGCCGAGGGAGTGGCCCCAGGAGTGCCGTGGGGAGATGCGGGGGACCCAGAGCCCCTGCAG